CCAAAGTAAAACCACGGACGTATAAATAAACTGGACCCGCAACCACCTCCATTCAGGTGAAGCCGACAAGGCGCCATTTTACGTTGCCAAAAAACCGTGCTCTGGAAGGTCATCGAGCCAATACAATTAGAATTGCGTCCAAACGAATGATCGGATCGAGATGCTGGTGGTACCGTTCGACGGGTAATTCCTTGAGGCAGGTGATGATGGATGTCACATGTCACCCGGTGTCACATGGCGCGTGCCACGTGCCGACAAACTTACAAAGGGCAAAAACCTTTAAGTGACGCTTCAAATCAAACGAAGGGCGGCACAGGTGCAAAACTCACAGGTCACATGTCCCAGTGTTCGACCACTAACATATGGTATGCTCGGCATCAGGGGGTGCGGAATGCACGCGCTAGTGGCGAAAAACATGTTTTGAGGAGGCATCCTCCGATTCCGGAAAACCTTGACCTAGGCACACCAAATTTGGCACACTGACACTACTGGACACGCGCTTTAAGGTGCTGTACAAATAGTCGTGCTGGGGTACACGGTGTACGTGCTGTGCACGTGCAAACCTTTTGATGTTGCACTCTGTGTCACATATGCGGGTAGGGCGGGTAGCGCTGGCAAGCTCAAAGTGCCAAATTTACACAGGCCACCCAGAATGCATTCCAGCATAGTTATTGAGCATATCCATCTCCTGGTGGTCCCCAAAGGTGCGCTCTGCACGTGCAAAAAATTATCCACGCCGGGCGGTGGGGATGATTGGACACCCTATGTGGATTTATGTAAATATCTCGAAAACGGCGTTGTGTAGCGCCGCCGTTTTTGGCACACCTTTTCATACATCTTTTTTTTACACATGCTGCGTAACTTTCAGAATTAGGTCACTCAAGGTTAGGTCATCAGGTTACGTCCAAGTGACCTTACCTTAGGAAAAGCCCGTCATAGCTACACAGACTGAACAATCGGTTTAAAACGTGCAGCGATTGATAAGAGCAACAGTATATACGTAGAGTACCTCTACCTCGGAATTTCAATCAGTGGTGGCGGAACACCTTCAATTAAAGGGGGGCACTGCCGACTTTTGGTCCCATTCTTTCCATGCAACGCCCTATGGGCGTTGCATGGAAAGGGCTATGTTGAAATGCCAAAATCAAAGGGGGGCACGGTGCCCCGGCGCCCCCTCGTTCCGCCACCTATATGATTTCAATATCACTTGCTTGCTCAATGCTCATTGCTCAGCTCGTATTGAAAGAGCACTGCGGCACAGCATAGATGCAGGCGCTTTGCTACTGCCATCTATGGGTGAAAGATGAAGATAATGGTTATTGCGGTACCTACAGTATTACAGTATTACTGCAGGCGCAAACAACGTAGATAACAAAGATGACTATGCTGCGCTGCGATTGAGGCGTAAATTTGCGTTGCTGGGTAGCAAAAAGTTTAGGAGCCCGAATTTTACAACATAAATGATTTGCCGTGCTGGTGGTCTGAGGTCGCAAAATCAACAGAACCCTAGGTCAGTGATATTGAAAATTCGAGGTAGAGGTAGGTACTCTACGTATATACTGTTGATCTTATCAATTGCTGCACGTTTTAAGCCGATTGTATAGTCTGTGTAGCTATGACGGGCATTATAGTTTTTCCTAAGGTAAGGCCACTTGGACGTAACCTGGACCTGGTGACCTAACATTCAGCGACTTAAGTCTGAAAGTTATGCAGCATTTGTGAAAAAGATGTATGAAAAGGTGTGCCGAAAACGGCGGTGCTACACAACGCCGTTTTCGAGATATTTACATAAATCCTTAGTTATTGCCTGATTGTATGGGGCTCGAATTATGAATGTAACCTAATTCCTATCATCACTGCGCAAAAGCGAGCGATCAGGCTCATAGCTGGTGTGAGTCGCCTGTCCCATACCTCCCCACTCTTCCGTGAACTTAAACTTCTTAAGCTTTGTGATGTCTTAAACAAACAGCTGCTTCTTGTTTTACATGACTTCCTCTTTGACCGGTTACCTGATGCTATTTCGGTTAGGTTCTCCTTGTACATAAGTAATCATTCTCGTCCAGTTCGTAATCCCAGGCACTTCAATGAGCTGGTCTCTACGGACAACGGGGATGGGGTGCTTAATTATCGGTTACGCAATTATCGTTTATTTTCACCATTTTGTAGAGCACCAGTAATCTGGAACCAAGTAATTGCCTCGCGTATACCTAACCTTCGTGATATCCCCTCCAGTAAATCCCTTTTTAAGAAATGTCTTATGCATATCTTCATTGATGACTATTAGATTTTCCAATAACTCAGCTGTATTACTTGCTCTTGTCTTCTTTCTATTTACCTTTTTTTCCATATTTACTTTTTTCCCTGATAGTTCTGATCCACCACCACCACATCCGTTGCCTCCTTGACTTATTGGCGTGCAGCGGGACCTCAGGAAGTTAAACAACCTATATCCCGCTGCACTTAGCCAAACACATTATGTCTAGTGTTAATCATAAACGGGATTAGCATTGCACTCCGTTTAGCATGTATGTATTGTTAGTTCATCGATATAGGTATACATATTTATTCATACATGAATTCATATACAGATTTACAATGGCCATTCAACACTACGCTACTCAAGTTTTCTTTCCAATTCTTTAAATACCCCAGCATCGTAACAGTTTGTACCTGCCTACGTTCCCGACCCCTGAACGATAATGTGATTGACCCCGGCCTAACGTTCCTCTCCGACCATCTGCCCCTACAGCTGAGCTACACGGCTGGACAGGGTCCGGTCGAAGCCCGGTGCCATGCTGCTGGGGGCTGCTGCGGCCTGCGACGGATGGCGGCTGTTGCTTCCGCTCCCTGAGGAGATGCCGTCCTTGTGGCGCACAGGGCGGCTACCCACGGTTACAGCCCGATGGCTTCATTCTCGGGACACGGCCCGTTGGATGTGCGACGACCGGCACCTTGCGACCGCTGCGGTGACCGGCAGCGGTGCCCGCTCTCCTGACTTGACAACGGACTACATCTTCGTGCCGCCATGGGGTGGCGCCACTGGTGGGACGAGCGCCACTGGTGGAGCAGGCGCCATCTCTGAGGCGGTACAGCCGACCGGCTGGCTAACGGCGTCGAGCGCCTGATGAATGCTGCGCTGAGCGGCGATACTGAGTCGCCGCTCTCGAACTGTCGACGTCCCACTGAGCTTGTTGGACATGACTACGGGGCAGCCGACTAGACTACATCCTCGGCCGCGGCCCGTTGGATGTGCGATGACCGGCACCTTGCGACCGCTGCGGTGACCGGCAGCGGTGCCTCCTCTCCTGACTTGACAACGGGCTACATCTTCATGCTGCCATGGGGTGGCGCCACTGGTCGGACGAGCGCCACTGGTGGAGCAGGCGCCATCTCTGAGGCGGTACAGCCGACCGGCTGGCTAACGGCGTCGAGCGCCTGATGAATGCTGCGCTGAGCGGCGATACTGAGTCGCCGCTCTCGAACTGTCGAAGTCCCAGTGAGCTTGTTGGACATGACTACGGGGCAGCCGACTAGACTTCATTCTCGGCCGCGGCCCGTTGGATGTATGATGACCGGCACCTTGCGACCGCTGCGGTGAGCGGCAGCGGTGCCCCCTCTCCTGACTTGACAACGGGCTACATCTTCATGCTGCCATGGGGTGGCGCCACTGGTGGGATGAGCGCCACTGGTGGAGCAGGCGCCACCTCTGTGGCGCTACTGCCGACCTTGGACCGGCGGGATGACGGCGTCGAACGCCCGATGACTGTGTGCTGGACGGCGATACTGAGTCGCCGCTCTCCGGGCACCATCCCCATCGACCAAGGCCCGGCTGGTGCTTGGCGCCGGGTGCCGGATGGCCGCTGCGCTCGGCGGCGGTGCTGGGTCGCCGCTCTCTGGAATGACCGCTGACTCGTCTTTTTGATCTCGTCTTTGTGTTACCGTCTGGTTAGGCACTGTCAAACTCCCCAATATAACCTTTAACACTAACTGTCCGTATTCTAACAAAACTAACATGTGAATCCTTTCCGACCAATCCCGTTTGACAGTGCCATAAATTATGAATTGTTCAATGTGTGATCCCAAATTATAATCAATAAACGGAACGGAACGGAACGGAAATCCACATAGGGTGTCCAATCATCCCCACCGCCCGGCGCGGATAACTTTTTTGCACGTGCAGAGCGCACCTTTGGGGGCCACCAGGAGATGGATATGCTCAATAACTATGCTGGAATACATTCTGGGTGGCCTGTGTAAATTTGGCACTTTGAGCTTGCCAGCGCTACCCGCCCTACCCGCATATGTGACACAGAGTGCAACATCAAAAGGTTTGCACGTGCACAGCACGTACACCGTGTACCCCAGCACGCCTATTTGTACAGCACCTTAAAGCGCGTGTCCAGTAGTGTCAGTGTGCCAAATTTGGTGTGCCTAGGTCAAGGTTTTCCGGAATCGGAGGATGCCTCATCAAAACATGTTTTTCGCCACTAGCGCGTGCATTCCGCACCTCCTGATGCCGAGCATGCCATATGTTAGTGGTCGAACACTGGGACATGTGACCTGTGAGTTTGGCACCTGTGCCGCCCTTCGTTTGATTTGAAGCGTCGCTTAAAGGTGTTTGCCCTTTGTAAGTTTGTCGGCACGTGGCACGCGCCATGTGACACCGGGTGACATGTGACATCCATCATCACCTGCCTCAAGGAATTACCCGTCGAACGGTACCACCAGCATCTCGATCCGATCATCCGTTTGGACGCAATTCTAATTGTATTGGCTCGATGACCTTCCAGAGCACGGTTTTTTGGCAACGTAAAATGGCGCCTTGTCGGCTTCACTATCTTCCATAGGAGGTCCATTGGGATTGTCAGTCCAGTTTATTTATACGTCCGTGAGTAAAACACAGCAAACAGCTGAGCAATCAGCTGAGCCTTCAGTTCCGCTGAACAATAATCAAAACATCGTCCACCCAGAACCAAAACAGTGCCTCAAACGTGACTTACCTGTCGATGCTCTCCTTCATTCCCGAAGTGAGGACCCTCCGCAACCAGGACGACCGTGCTGCCACCACCGGGCCGTGTGCCAACAGAACTGTCTCCTGCTGCCCAGAGATGGCAGCACCGTGACCGCCCAGCAGCGACGGCACCACTGCGGGTGGAGAGGGAGAAGTTGTAAATGGAAGAAAGAGGCCATCCGAACCATCGGTCAACAGTTCAGTCATTTTCCATCCTCACAATAGTCAAATCCTTCTCCTCCACGCCTATTTCTTCTGCTCCGGGCTGGATGGTCGCCTTTATCAGTTGTTATGTAGCTTTTCAGGAGCTGACCCATCGCTCGATGGGGTGAACGTTAGCGGGAATAGGCACAGCCTAGTGTCTCTCGAAACGGGCTCAGCCTCGGCGGCGAGCCAGGGTGCCCGCTCGCACTAACGTCTCCTCCCAACTGCTATGAAATTTCAGGCTCTGAGAGAGATGGTCTCAGGCCGAAAGAGCACAGACCGTCTCCTCCCAAAACAAGCAAATCAATCAAACTCTAGGTGATAAAAAATGTTTGATAATGCCTAAAGAAGTCTTTGAAGCAGTGTTTCTACTTAAAAAAGGAAAATGAGAAGACTTCCATCCGCATTGGTCAGACAAGGCACAAAGAAAGGTGCAATATTCAATCTGGTTGTCAAGCTCGTTTCCAGCCAGAATCCAAGGAAACACTCATAAATCACCCCATACAACCTCCCCCCGACAATTCCAATCGACTAACCCGGGTCTCCGCGGACAGTGAACTGCAGATCGGTGTCTCGTCCCGACTCAAACAGCTGGTGACAGCGGCGGGCGAGTCCACTGTCGCGACTGAGGGGAGGTCGCGTCAGCGCAGACACCAGTGACAGCTGCCGAGAGACAAGGGGAGCAGGTTAGCCAAACGGCATAGGCCCTGTCTATCTGTCAAATGATGGATGGAGTTAGAGAGCATGAAATAAGTTTAGCTTTCTACCCAGTCCCCTGGCTTCTCGTAAGATTCAACAAAAACAATGCAACGCTGCTAAAGTGAATGCATGCGGAAAATGATTGCCAGGAAGTCACCACATTAGGTAAAAACTAACTACTCCAAGCATTTTAGGCATTTATCATTAGGCATTTATCATAAAACAATGCAACGCCTGATGTATCCAATTCATTAATGTGAAAGCGCACTGATCGCCATCACTTACTGAATCCGAGTCATTCGAAGCCGGAGACGAAGAACAATTGCTCTTCCACGGATCTTCCACCCCCAGTCTTCCCATTCCTCCATTTCCAGCCATCTGATTGGTCCTCACACCGCTTCCCACGCTCTGATTGGTCGTCTCGCCGCCGCCTGTCTCCTGATTGGTCGCCGCGCTGTCCCCAGCTCTGCGATTGGCTACTCCGTTGTCTCCGGCGCTGTGATTGGCCGCCGCGCTGTCTCCCGGCTCCTGATTGGCTCCCAGCGTGTCTTCCAGCAGTCCCAGTCGGACGAGCGTGGCGTCCAGTTGCTCTCCTCCCACCAGGAGTCGGATGTGATCGATCAGAGGACGAACCACCTCCGCGTGCTGACGCAGCAGCTCCATTATGTGGTGCTGGAATGGACAAACGGCAGGGTCAGACAGACCCATTACGTGGTGCTGGAGAGAGGATAATCAGCAGGGTTATACAGCTGCATGACTGTGTTGCTGCACAAAGGATAATCGAAGAGTTAGACACGACAAAGAAATTGTTTCTATAAGGCATATCTGAGAGTTGACATACCGGAGAAGTAAACTTCAACAATCGGCATGTGCACGATTCGCTCATGGACCTAAAAGTCCATAAGTAATTGCATTAATGTTAAGATTTTCATTTCTGTCATTCGCACAACGCATAAAAATAAGTTCCACAACACAGCCTTAACAGTCTTGCTTACACTGGGATTATAATCAGCCTTTCCACCCAAGCCCGCCCCGTTTCTCTGCGTTGTCATTGACAATATCCCATACCTGTCACTCTCCTTTGCTCGACTCTGGCTGTCCCTAGATTATCCAACATCGACCCCTCCTATCCTTCCACCCCCTTACGTACCACGCGGCTGGCAGTGGCGATAAAGTAGAACTTGAACTCTCGCCAGGTGACATGTTGCCCGGCCAGTTCTGCCGCCTCATCCAGAGCGGCACACGCCATTAGGGCGGGCAGCTCGTCCAGAAGCCTCTCCGTACTGCGGGCTACCAGCCGCGCGCCGCCCGCCTCACCGACGGCGGAGAGGTACTCACTGCCGGCGGAGCGGGGTTCGAATCTCAGCGGTGGCAGGAGATTTTGTTTTTAGAAGAAATGTGAGATTTGGTTGGCACATGTAAGATGCATTGCAAGATGCACGAGATGCACCTTGCACGTTGTGTCTAAGTTCAGCGCAAAATTATATAAAACACAAAAAAATGAGCATAATCGTGTTGTGAAATTATCCAAAAGTTGCATGGCATAACAGTGATATGAATGCAACAGATTGACATGACCCATAACGAAACGATTGGGAAGTAGCAGTGGACGCCTTCTCCTAGCCACTGCTTGAGCGTACCTAGAAATCCGTACAATTTACGTAAATCAATGCTTTGTTACCGTTTCTGCAGGATATAGATGTTGGCCCGAGTCAGTCTTTCCAGAAGAGTCTGCAGACACAACATAGTTCGACTCCGAAGCACCTGTGAAATAAAGCAAAGTTCATGTGACAAGCCTAGTGTAGCGTCGCAGGCAGAAAATACGATGGCAGGCCAGCACTATTTACCAGTAAAACGCCTTTTGGGCGAAGAACGAGCGAGCGAGATAGTGAGCCCTGCACGTGCGGAAGGGCGAGAGGGTGCTTCCAACGGGCTTGCGCAAAGCAACCTTCTAACTGGTCGCTAGCGGTGTGCCAAATTTGAACGCAATCGGCCCAGCCGTTCCTGAGATCTGGAAGCGGCATTCTGCACGTGCGCACGTGCAAACGGGGTCCAAAAGGACTTTTGCACCGCACCCTACTAACTGGTCCCCAACCGTGTACCAAATTTGAGCGCAATCTGCCCAGCCGTTCTCGAGATCTGGAAACGCCCCCTGCACGTGCGCACGTGCAGTAGCACCCTAACCGCAACACATGGGAATGCATTGCCTGGTGGGCGCCTACCTGTATGCCAAGTTTCAGCGAAATCGCCCCAGTAATTACCGAGTTACGGAAATGGGAACATATTTGGCACCTCTTATTGTTGTATTTTGCACGTGCACTGGGGGTGACCCTTATGCATCGAGAGTGTCCTATTTTGGGTAGAAGGGATGCTGCTACCCTACAAAAATTACCGCAAGTCAATCGCTCAAGCGGCTGCTGAGATATGAGTCTCTCAAAATCACTACTTTTGCAAAACAGCTTGAACACCCTTGACTTTTCACGTGGCACGTGCCACGACGGTCACTGAGATGTATCAAAAGTAATCAATTACGGGGTAGAAGGGATGGGGCTACCCAACAAAAAAGACCGCAGGCCAATCGGTCCAGCGGTTGCTGAGATATAAGCCTCTCAAAAGCGTTACAGGCCGGGCCGGGCCGGGCCGGGCCGGGCCGCTCATACTGAGATTTTTCCGTTATATTGAAAAGACTCACTTCGCTCGCTGCGCTCGCTCGCTCGTAAAAAAATTAACATGCGTAAGTGCAAAACTAACTTACGAAGCACTGTACCGTAGGTCTACAAAATAAGTCCTCACCGTAATGCGGGCAGGTGGCGCCTGAGTAGCACTCAGGCGCTAACAGCTGCCCACTGGTGACCCGCTCACGGCGGGGACTTAGTTATTTTGTAGACCTACTGTACAAAGCCAAGCGGAACAAAACTACAACAGCAATCGCCGTATCGAATGGAATTCACTTACCCTAAAAAAAAAAACAATACAAACCTGAACAAAGCATCTCTGATTCCAGAATCCTTATAAAACATCCAGAATAACCTTAATTTAACAACCTTCGCCAAACAAAGTAGAAGACCCGTCTGCAGTTCCACACCCCTTACCCGATAACTTTTCTACCACCTTCACTTCCCCGCTAATCCCTCCGTTCCCATCTCCTTAATTTCCTTACATAGGTGAGTGATCCATCCCTCCGAGCGGCCGCGGGTCCATCGGGTGCCGTCATTGCGCCCAGAGCCGCCTCCAGGAATGTTTTACTCTCCTCCAGTAGAGTTGATATGGTCACCGCCAGCCACTCCAGCTAGGGAGCGGAAGGTACAGATCGTCAGTGCTTGTTCCAAGATTTGACAATGCGTTGTAAATCGATTGTAGGGCGATGTAGATTCAAAATATATTAATGAACTAATGAATAAATAAATGAATGAATGAATGAATGAATGAATGAATGTGCCGACGCTCTGGTCCCTCTAATGTCATCTCATCAGCTGGTTCTCAGCTTGGCTATGGTCTCCTTCCCGAGACAAAAAGTTCTCAACAGTCTGGTCATCAAACTGTCGGGAGGTAGGCAGGACCAGTGGTTCATGGCACCAGACTAGTCTCAAGTATGGTTCCATAGCCCAATAGTCCTGCCTTCCTCTGACACGGAACAGTGGTCTGACTCCTGAGTCATGCTCCCCCTCCCATAAATCAATGGTCCTCCATACTTCTGAGACGGATCGGACGGCCAGGTCGCACCGCTGCGACTGATCATCCACCCCTCACGTCCAATGGTACTAACTACTAAGGTTTGGCCACCATCCCAGACCAATCCGGTCCCTGGTCCCCACCCCAAACCAATGGTTTTCAGCCCTGTTCCCCTTGAAAGACCACTGGTCCTGAGGCCAGTTTTACCAACAGAAAATAGCCGCCTGCCGGAATTTTTGCCTAAAGACTGCTTCACATATTACGGCGTAAACGGTAAAGCCCTATCCGCTTACGTGCCCATCGCGTTTACGCTCCGTATGTGAAGCGATCCTTAGGCAAAAAATTCCGGCAGGTGGCTATTTTTCTGTTGGTAAAACTGGCTTCAGCTTACCTCTGTGACGGGGCGGGCGGCCAGGTCGGCCTGCTAGGTCTAAAACTCTCCACCCCAGGGCAGCGCTCCTGACCTCTAGTCCCTCGCCCTGGTACAATAGACCATTGGTCCCTCTTACCTCTGAGACGGAGCGCGCCGCCAGGTCGGAGCGCTGCGTCTGACTGGCTGAGGAGAGCAGCGTCCGCAGACCGTGTAACATCCTGACAAAGAAACAGACGGGAGGGGAAGCGTGGCATGTTCAGAGACTAATGACAGTCATGGCTCCGTTTATTCACACAGCAGAGATCTATATTATAGCGTCTGATGAAGAGCGTTTGGCACTATATTGTAAGGCTTGAAACTTAGCCTTGGACACAAATCTTCTTTACTTTTTATTTTTACACTTCCACATTCTGACTGAAAAAATGAAAGTCGCACAACTTACGGCTTCCAAACGATTGAAAAATGGCCACATGCCGGGGTCCTGGTGTAATTAGTAATTGTGAGAAGCGCTCACCGTTGCAGCTCGGTGAGAAACTGGGGCAGACGGGACTGGGCGTATCTGATGATCTCACGACGCTCCTCCGACCCCAGTGCCATCTCGTGGTGGCCGTACAAATCAAACGTCAGCGCCAGTTTGCTGAGACCTATGGAATATAGAGCCATCTCGTGGTAACGAGAATGACAAGCTAATGAACTTAGACGAGCGACAACTGACAAGAGATAATAAGCATGGGAAGTTATAATTCTCAAAATAAAACTTAAAGTTGTCAGAAAAATGCAACAGGAACCATATGAACCCACCCCAAGGTAATTGTGCAATATTTCCCATAATCATATATTTATCTATACTGTATACTTCTGTATGATAAAACCTTTATATCCGCCTCCACTGTACATTTTTTTCCTAAATTTCCGTCGCGGGTTGCGACAAAACCTTCAGCACCCTCCCGTCCATGGTTGTGGATTTCCGCCGGGATGGGGGTGCCCAAGCTCTCTAAATTCCCGCCGGCTCGGCCGGCTTGGGTTTGCAGCCGCAACCGCCGCAACAGGCGGCGCGGGTCAGGGTCACCGCGGCAGTTTTGCTGCGCCCGGGCACCCCAGCTCAGCGGAAGTCCACACCCATGCTCCCGTTAATCAATCTTAAACCAGCCCTGAAAATGTCATGACCCTAATTAAACAAATCGCATTTCATCTTACGTTGTGGGTTGTACACGACCACCAATACCCGTCTCCTCCAACATTCATCATTCCCTCACACACCCAACCACCCCGTCGTACGCACCCAGCGCCATCTGCTGCAGACAGAGTCTGGCCAGAGCCGACAGCTGGCTGGGACAGGCCAGCACGGACTCTGCTCCCTGGCGGGGGCGACCCACCGCCTCCGAGAGGGCTCCGTTCACCGCGCGGCAGCAGGATAGCATGTCGGCCACCAGACGGCGCAGGTCTGTCAGGGGAAGAAAGCAGGACTCAACCAGGGGCGGAGCTTCCTATATAGTTGGTGGGGCGGCTGCCCCACCAACTTGGTACTTTTTGCCCCACCAATATGCGTTTTGCTCCACCAACTTTAGCTAATTTTTAGGACTTCGTTTCGCTGCGATTCAATCTTTTTCGCGTTGATGAGCTTTAGAATGTCTATGTAATGCAAAATCTTATATCTGTAGTAATAGGGTTTGATTCAGTGTGGCATTTTATTCAACTTGACGATCGGACATTGTAGGTTTGACGGCTTTTTGACCCACCAACTTCCCCAGACCCTGGTAAAGCTCCACCCATGGTCTCAACCAGCAGTCGCACAGAGGTGCAGGTGTCGGGAAAGGAGAGTGACAGAAGACTCAGACAGAGCGAGCAGCGGGACGGCATTTCAGTCACCAGACGGCGCGGAAGTAAGGAGGGACGGGTGCAGTGTGAAACGCACAGAACGTTCATGTAGCACGAGATCTCGTGACAGTGCAGAGAGCAGGGATGAGGGGCATAATAAAACTCCAACGATGCACGGGGGTAAACTAATATCTTAAACTCAGCTTTCCGTCGATTGCAATCCTTTAGAGAAAAGAAGCTCAACAACATTTCGAGTTTTCATGCAATCACAGTTGATACACATAAGCTCCAATCATATGTTAATGACTTGACCTATCGTAGCAGCATATTTTCATAATTTTGTTTAACCGCAACGTGGCCACCTAATCTCTCTGACCCGAATCCCGCTCCCACATACCGTCTCTCAGCGTCACATTGGTCAGGTACCGGCCGCACAGCTCCGCCAGCGGCCCCAGCTCCGGAAGCTGACGCAGCTCTCTCTGTAGCTCGGCAGCCACTGTCGGCGCCAAACCCTCCGGCAGTGACTCCGTGTAAAGATAGTGCAGAACCGCCCGCACGGCCGGCGCCGGCAGATGGCGCAGCGGATCGGCTCGCCAGTCTATAGATGGCGCTAGTAGGCGCAGAATCTGGCTGTGCGCAGCAAACTGCCGGTTGAAACATACCGTTGTGAATAGGATTAGTGGAGACCCGCGGAATTCAAAAGTCACACCTGACGCATCTTTTATGAGCTCAAATATCACTTGGGTACAACATTCCATGCAGGCTGCAAATTTGTAAAAACACACTGTGGAAACCCTACAAAGCAATATGAAGTTGTGAATTTGCCAGCATCCAATCGAAAACGGCGAATCGCCGGCCTTCTAGAAAACCAGAAGCGAAAATTCAACTGAACAACATCATATTGTGCAAAATAATGCCCTTCAAGATAATGGCACTTCAGCCATCTCAATTACAGCCAGCTCAATGGTGGGCGGTGGCTAGGACGATAAAACCAACAACAGTTCTGAAGCCATCGAAGCATGTCAGCATCTGCCGTTACGGCGAGAGCCAAGGGATAAAAGTGCCCCTTCACACAAGACACAACCCGTATTCCGATCTCACCGTGCTGCCATCTGCCGCCGTGACGGCGACATCCGAGTACACGGAGCAGCCGATGAGTGGCGCCAGTGAGAACGGATGATCGGGCGGCGGCTGGCGGCAGGGCACGCGCTGACACTGCAGGATGCACCAGGCCTCGCAAGTGAGAACCATCAGGTCCTGAGGCGTCGGATGGTCCACCTGTCGATAAAAGGGCGGGGTGAGTGAAATCATGGATCGTTGAACAAAACTGTGTGGCGCAATGATGTGGTGGCGGCCCAGGTGGCCGCCTTAGGGCCCTCCAGAGCTACTGTGCTTCGTCGCGGGACCCCCACGGCCAGAAGGAACTACAAGAACAGCAGATCATTGATCGCCTATGGGACGGATGAAAATAGGCACTAAAGAATATGAAGAGAAGAGAGGTAAATAGCACACTGCCTGCAACGCAAGGAATAAAAAGACAGCATTGATTGAGCATATGACCGCATAATGTGTTTCTTGCCTTCCAGACCACGAGGAGACCCAAACTGACCCCACAGACCAGGAACATCCATTGACTACACAGACTCAACTATAAACCTCAAATGAGATCCTAGCAAAGCAAGGCCCTCAATCGGACATAACGACCATAACCTTTAACAGCGCACACCATCTCAACGCCCAACTGACCTTAAAGACGACGACGTGTCCCTGGACGGCTGCCAGCATCAGCGAGCGTCTGTCGTTGTTGTACGAGTGGTCGGTGACGAGGTCGTACACCTCACACCGGAACAGGGCGCAGTCCGACTCACTGCCTGAGGCGGGACAACAGCAGGGGTGGGTCACTTTGGGGGCTCGTTTATCGTTTCAAAGGTCGCCAAAGGCTAGGTTGAAGGTCAGAGACTTACTGATGGATGGTTGCCAGCTGACTGAAAAGTGTTTGTCTGAAGACATTGGATGTGAATAACAGTTGGGGCAGTCTCACTTGGTAGAAAGCGTAAAAATGACCCATCGAGGTGGCATGCCCAAAAATCCCAATAAAAAAGAGGAAAATGGAAGAAAATGCAGAAGTTTGAGCTGCCCTCGATCATTCACTAGTAGGTAGTCAGGAGATATAGAAAAATGAGTTGTTTTATATTGGCTCACTGACACAGATGCAGACCATTAAAAAGCCACAATTACCCTCTGGAAGGATCCATGTGACATCTCCGCTCTCATCCAGCTTCATCTCTGTTCCCTCCAGGGCTGACTGGCAGCCGGAGCCACACAGCGAGATCACCTCCACAATCTGGCAACACAGTATAAACAAGTTAGTGCTGAACAGGGAATGATCAGGGCAATCAAGATGATCCCTGCATTAAACAGTGTGGTTGACAATATTGCACCAGGATTTACTGAAATTTCACTTTTAAGTTAGGTACATAACTGGTATCGTTATCAGTTTTTTGACAACCTGAGTTTGATGCAAAAAATCAGCAATTTGACATACACTGAGCCTGTAAATCAAAAGGCCTCCAAAAATGCTGACATAACAATTGAGCTGCACTGTAGTTTTCTAAGAATCCAAACTCCATGCTGCAGTTTTTTATATACCACCAATCAAGATATAACTTCACAATTTCTTTAAGCATTTATAGCTAACAGTCAAGAATAGATAACACTGTAAACTTGACATACCTTCCATGCTCCAACATAAGGGTCATTTGCAACTGCCATGGCTGTCTTTCTGAACTCTGAAGAACTTGAAATCAAAAGAGCACCAATTTAGAACACTGCAGCTGGATTTGCAGACCCAGATCCAAGATCATAGAAATGATAGTGTGGGCCCATAGAGCTCTCAGACCTCAGTAGCAATCATGCTGTCGTGCCTGTTTGAGCTCTCTGAAATCAAATGAGGGTCAGTTCAGTAGGTAAGTCATACATGTTTTGACTGAACCTGTTGGTGAATAAACTGAACGAAACAGAACAGAAGAGGTGAAACTACTTAGAAGAAGATAGACACTTAGAATATTTTCAGTTTTAATCCAAGCAGAGGAAAGAAAACTAAAAGTAGGGAAAGCAATAGCATGGATACAACAGGAGCAATGCAAACACTGTCCATAATGCATTGGAAGTTTGTATGGGGCATGGAAGTACCGATCAGTTTGTTAAATTTCGTAGTGAAACATTCTTCTCCTTTTGGCAAACAAATGCCTCTGTTTGCCTCAATTGCAATTCCAGTGCTCTTCTTTGTCATCAGCTTATAGTGACCATCCCACCTTAACATTAGTTTTTAGGTGAGATTGCCAAATTGGTAAATGTCAAGTTTAAGTCCTATGAAGATTTCATTGATAAATTTTTCATATTTTTACATTATTTGACATCCTGAATCCAAAAATGATACTAATATGTCTCGCAAATAAAAGAAAAAACAATCAAACCTGACCTAACCTTACCTAGGTACTTACCTATAACCTACCAACCTACAACCTACAAACCTACGCTAACTTAACCTAACCTACAAACCTACCTACCTACAACCCAAAACCTACAAACCTACAACCTAACCTAACCTAAAACCTAAAATTTTTGCTGTTTCATATTCGTATCAACAGCGTCACAATTGTAGTTAGGACCTAAACTTGACATATACCCCTCAGTCCCTGGCCTGCTATTCACGGTTTGGGCATTCACAACATCAAGAAATGTTTAAATTCAGAGACATTGAATTTCAAAATTGCAGTTTTCAGATTCCAAGGGGCTAATGCATTTGAATGCCCCTTATAATTTGTGACGTCAGTGCAAGTCTAGCGATTTTTTAACGTAACTGTAACACTAGAAGAAAACAGTTGCTGTGGTGCATGTGGCAGCACCTACCTATGTACTGCTTTGCACCCAAAATCTGCCATGCTTTTATGATACCAACTTATTGCGTCCAAATGACGCCATAGGAACAGCATAAGCCCCCAATGCCAATACCAAACAAAAATAAAAGTCTAATATCTCAAAACCAGTGAATGTTTTGGTTAAAATTTGCTAATGATCAATCATTTTTGCTCTTTCTGAGCCATTGTACATCACTTGTATGCCTATTCATTAACTTTTTTGAAGGAGGGAGGGTCCCTACTCCCTTTAGATCTTAAGTTGATACATCAGGAATAAAACAACAAAGATCGAGGGACTAAAATGCAATCAGCAGATCTGAAAAACATGGAATATTCATTTATCTCGGAAAACAAATTGAAATGCAATAATTACCGGAGAAACAGTCGCACTACTTCCTTTCCCATTTCTTTTTCGACGACGACACACATCCTCCCCCAGGCAATGAAATGATTTCTGCTAAATTTTGTTTTATTATTTCGATCATCACCTGCTGAAGGAAGAAGTCAACCAAACAAGGCAGACTCATAACAGCTATTGCTGCTCGCAACGAAACATTTATAAAAATTAGAACAGGCATATCCTGCGCATCTGTTTCAAAATTAGCCCAAACGGCTTAAGAGAAGCAACTACTATACCAAATAACGTAACATTACATATCATGGCAATGTGTTTAACCGTATAGATTTGAAGGAAATGTGAACTCAAAGGTAGATATTCTGCCTAATGCCTTTTACATTTTTATTTCATGTTCAACTAATACCCTAGCTTGAATTTGAAACCAACATCTCATCATCTCATCATCAACTAATACCCCAGCTTGATCGGCATATACGCCAACTACTGCAAATCACCGGCGCGGCACCACCAGCACGGGCTCGGGCAGGCTACCAGTAAAGTAACCTTGCCGGCACTCGTGTGACTGGGTCGACGACTACACTAGGCTACACAGGACCACAGGACAACTACAAAGGACCAGCTGGCTGGAATCTAGTTCATAAGAGCTGTCGGAGTAGTTTGGATATTACATCTTTCTTTGGATTGGATTGGACATCTGTCGGGTCCAAAAAGGCGCCGTCTTGGTCTGGGACGCTGCGGGGACATACTTCCGAAAAAAAAGTTTCTCCAAACTCCAAAATCCATCAAATTTCAATTTCTTACGCACTGCTGTGCAGTTTAACACTTGCAGTGAAAGGGCCGAATTCCACCCTCCCCCCGCCCCTTCTCCCGTTTTTCGCAAGTGTGAAGTAAGAAATGACGCCGTTATCATTTCATTAACGTTAAATTTTCATTACCTGCCTAAAGTTGAATTGCGGATCTCGCCGTGAAAGCAATAAGTAGATCGGCCCACAACGTTTGTAGATACAGGTGTGTGAAGTCAAAAATCCCGCCGGAGCGGTGGCGCGATGGCCGGCGCCGGCCGATTCTCGCCGCCGGACTGTGCCCCGCCGGACGGTTCCGGCTTTGCATTGCGCTTCTTACCACTGCTTACGATCGATTCGCGTCAGGATCTCTGTGAAGACTAAAAAAACACAAATTTGTGACAAAAACGCTTCCTGCGTAGGCTGTTCCTCGCATCAACCGGGAGACATCTTCTTAGCAGAGTTTTACATAAACTCAAAAATGTATATGCCGTTGTATAATGAAAGTAATAAGAAAATCGAAGGTGACTTTTTGAAGTAAATTTTGAGGTTTCACACAAACACGAAATATACCCTGAACTGAAAAATTTTATCACGTTTGGCCTCATTTGACCTTGAAGATATTGACCTAGCTTCATGAAATTACCACACAATAGAGTTTCCCGCCGCCTTTAACCCGCGCCCTGCTGGGGGGGGGGGGTGTTTGAACACCCCCCCCCCCTTGTGGTTTTTCGCGAATATCTTAAAAACGGCGGCGCGGAACGCCACCGTTTTTGGTACACCTTATCATACATCAATTCTACACATGTTGTGGAAATTTCAGACCAAGGTCATTCAAGGTCAGGTCACCAGATCACTTGAAGTGACCTCACCTCATAAAAAGTTTCAATGTCTGTCATATGTACACCGAGTGACTGATCGCTTTGAAACTTTCAGCGATTGCTAAGAGCAATAGCATGTACAAAATTTTTATCTCAGAATTTTGATATCGATGACCTAACGTCGGGTCAATTTTGCGACCTCCCCATTATAAGTCAATGGGAGAAAATTGAAATGCGCCTCTTTTGGACGAAAGACATTATAAACACTCCCAAACACTAAATCACAAGTGGTTTAGACACACTGAACATGAAAATGGTGTCCGTGACCCCTGTCTATGCCCTGAGGTCATCTTAGGTTACGAATGGTATCTAACAGTTTTTCGCAAATAACTTTTGATAGAGGCATGCTAGAGCGATGAAAACGCCTTAGATGTGTTCAGCTCGACGATACGGATCGACTGATATGCAACATGACCCTTTCCGGTCAGGTCATGACCTTGACCTGAGGTCAAATTTTCAAGTTGACCTTTCAAGGTCAAGTTATAGTTCATTCGATGAGTCTTGACGAGCGGAATACGATGCCGGTAAAAGTAAGCTCATACAAGGCTTGGGTCAAAAATTATTGCAGAAAAACTGTTTCCGAAAAAATCGGCTATTTTTGCAGTTTTTACCCCCTGCAGGCAAAACCGTTGATGTTAGGTCAAATCTGAGAGAATTATTCAGAAAGGGCGTTAATAGGGCTATCGAATGCGCTTTTCCGCGGCGCTGTAGCCCTATTGGTTCCCGAGTTATGCGCTGGCTTCTTGGAAATTGTCGACATTCGACCTGGAAATCGGCGAAATTTTGCCTTCAATGACCTCTGGTGACCTGACCTTTGACCTGACCAAAAAATTGACCAAAGTGATTTCATCATCATTTTTGACGCTCTTTCGAACGCCGCCTTCCGCGTATCGCTACGTGGCCCAGGAGCCGAGTTAGAAGGGGGGGTGTTCAAACACCCCCCCCCCAGCAGGGCGTGGAAATCCAGGACCCCCAGCCGGGCGCGGGTTAACCACCCTCCGAATTTCGTCTTTTTTGGCTTCCATAGGAGCTGAGATCGTAGGTGGAGGGGCGACATTCGCCCCCCCCCCCCCACGCGGCCGCCCCTCCACTGTGGGCGTAGTTCTCGGAACCTTTCCACTGCGCCTGTTAAAACAAACTTTTCTTCATAAAAGTTGCGTTGCTTATGAGGTTATCGGTGGAGCCAACAAATAACAAAATGTACTTACTTTTATTGACGTTTCGGTTTCAAACAACCTTCGTCAGAATAGAATTACAAGTTACGTCTCATATTTCAAAAATGCACATATTTCAAACACACTGAGAACATAGCAGAGATAAATTCAAACTGTTTGAATTTATAAACAAACTGTCTGAGTTTGAATTTATCTCTGCTATGTTCTCAGTGTGTTTGAAATATGTGCATTTTTGAAATATGAGACGTAACTTGTAATTCTATTCTGACGAAGGTTGTTTGAAACCGAAACGTCAATAAAAGTAAGTACATTTTGTTATTTGTTGGCTCCACCGATAACCTCATAACACAAATATGTCCCTAAATAATCAGCATTTGCGTTGCTTAGTTTTCGTCTTATTCTTGAAAAAGACAAATTTTCGTCGATTTCAGGCGCTGGGGGGGGGGGGGGCATTTGCTCCAAGCCCCCTGGCTCAGGGGCTCCGCCACGGTTTTGGGATTGGGGGGGGGTCCGACCCAAACACAAAATCTCACTGGCGGATCCAGGGTGGCATTCAGGGGTATTCCCCCCCCCCCACTGCAGCGCCCGAAATCGATGAAGAATTGCCGTTTTTCTAGAGTACAAAAAACCTAACAATTTTATTGGAAGAAATTTGCTTTGAACTGCAAGACCAAGGTTTAGATTGCATAAGGAACCGAAAACCGAGGAGCAGAGCCCTATTGACACCGACATGGCGGCCTCTCAAATCGACGTTCTTGAGGAATGGAGGCCAGTGTTGCGCGCTGCAAAGGCGGTATTGGCCATCAGAGAACGCATTGGGCTCTCAGTGACTGGCATGAGCTTGGGAATTCAGGGACCTACATAAACCCTCAGGTATCTACTACACTGGCTCTAAAGCCAGTGTAGAGTCCTCGTAGGCCGTACTTAAAGGAAAGCTCAGTGCTACAGCAGGTATTGTAGGGATTTGAAAGCCCTGCCCTCAATAGCAGCATGGGGTCCTTAGAGACTGACAATTGACATTCAGTCTCTGTGATGAGTGTGACCTATCCTGGCCTGAAAATGGATATCAAAATGCTCCACTTCAATCAATAGTCAGACAATGGGGTGAATGTCCTACCTCTACGAACCTGCATTCTGAGCCCTGTGCAGATTATTTCAGATTACCTCAGAACGGTGTGAGGATGCATCGCTTAGACTAGTATGGTGCTCTGAAAGAGCGACGCATTCATAGTACCTAATAACAAAAATGGTGGAATGAAGACACTCCCATGTAGACCGGCGAGTGTCACTGTCGACTGTCGATATACTTCGTCTGCTACGACATTATACCGGGTGGCCCAAAAAAAATGTTCCCAACTTTGGAGGCCTATATCTCAAATTGGAGTGCAAATAACGAGCCAAAATTTTCATCAAGTTTGCATCACTTCTTTGCGCATTGGCATGCCAAATTGTAACGCTGTACCATCATTTTCAAGCCAGCAATCTTATGTTGAATCAAGTAAGATGTTTTTGCTTTTTTTGCCGATGTTGAACGGAAGTGATGATTGGCTTAGACGTACTACGTTAGAAAAAGATAGAAAAATAGAACACGTAAATGAAACCAGCACGTATGTTGTTATTTTAAATATTTTTTATCCCACTTATGTGCCAAATATTCAAATAATGAGCCAAAATGGTGTTAATGGATGCCATTCGTTTCAACGCTAAGTCCTGTTTCGAGCAGGAGTGGCACGGTGCATGGGTTACTGCTCATCGCCCTCCCTTCAAGAAGATCAAACAGTAAATCGACCGAATAAAGAAAAAAGCTAGACGGAATGTATCACCCTGAGGCCTGAACCATCAATGAGTCTAGTTGCCAGTAGCAGTCATGGCTGCAGGCCGTGGTGCCGAGATGAAAGTGACCCGTTCACTCACATTTTTTAGTAAACATCTGAGCAAAAAAGTAATTTTTACATGGCATGCTAGAAACACGAACCGTTTAAAAAGTAATTGACCGAATAACATAAAAATCATACCATTCACTGAAAATATATGCCACATTGACTATTGGAAGTTTCAGTGTTGCATCTTTATCACTTTCTGAGAAATATTGATTCAAAGTTGGGAACGTTTTTTCTGGGCCACCCGGTATACCGGGTGGCCCAGAAAAAACGTTCCCAATTTTAAATCAATATTTCTCAGAAAGTAATAAAGATACAACATTGAAACTTCTAATAGTCAATGCGGCATATATTTTCAGCAAATGGTA